GTGAACTAGCCCAAAGAATCAACAAATGGATCTCATCTTTTTAAAAAGAGTCTGCACTGCAAGAGAAACCACCAACAGTGTGAAGAGACAACCCACAATGTGGAAAAAAAAATTTACCAGCTGTTCCTCAAAGTTCTATTATCTAGAATATACAAAGAACATTAAAAAATCAGACCTCTCAAATTTAAAGGCCCAATCCAAAAACCTGCATCTGAAATGAGCAGACATTTCTCAGACAAATTAGAAACAGCAAATAAATATATGAAAAAATGTTCAACATCACTGGTTATTCGAGTGATGCAGATGAAAACAAAGCTGAGATTCGATCTCATCCCAGAAAGAATGGCTGCTATCAAGAAATCAACCAAAATTCTGGTGGGATTGTGGGGAAAAAAGGAACTTTTGTCCACTTTTGGTGAGAGTATAGACTACTTCAATTACTGTGGAAATCAGTATGGAGATACCTCAAAAAACTAGGATTAGAGGTCCCATTTGACCCAGGTATTCTCCTGCCAGGTATTTTCCCAAAGGAATTAAACGAATCATACTATAATGATAAATGTGCACCCATGTTTATAGTGGCATAATTTAAAACAGCTAAAACTTGGAAACAGCCCAACTACCCATCAACTGGTGAATGGATAGAGAAGGTGTGTTTTTTACTCAGCCATAAAGAATGAGAAACTATTTAATCCCCGTACCAAATAAAAAAAAAAAAAAAAAAAAAGAATGAGAAACTAGAGACATTTATAGCTAAATGGATGCACATTCAGGACATATTCTTAAGTGAAATAAATAGAACACACATGTGTAAATACTGAATAGTTTCCTCTGGGGTGAGAAACTGAAAGTGTAAATAAGGATTAAAATGTAGACAATGTGAAATAGGAAGATAGGCCCAAAGGGGAAGGGGAAGTGGGAGGAGTAAGAGAAGGGAAAAGAATAAATATGAGAAAAGAATAAAACGGAAGCAAAGTCTCTGCAAATAGGGACTGGGTGGAGGAGTGAGAGGGCAGGGGAATGGGGGAAAAGTAAGATCCAAGATATACCATGTAAAGGAACAATCCCCAATTATGGATGTCATCATATTGTGGACCTAAAATGTACAGATAAACTTAATGAATTAAAACATTATTCCAGAGGTCTTCCTTCTTTTGAGAGAAATTGATAAGTGGATGCTGAACTTCATAAGGAAATGTAAGAAACTCAGAATAAACAAAACAGTAATGAAAAAAATGTTGGAGAACTTACACTCCTTGATTTCAAAACTTACTACAAAGCTACAGTAATCAAAATACTATGGTACTGGGCCAGGGATTTAGCTCAGTGGTTCCACCACCTGCCTCAAAAGAGCAAGGACTCAAGTTGAATCCCTGGAACAAAAAAAAAAGTACGGTACTGACAAAAGAATAGACTGGTCAGTGAAACAATTCCGAGTATAGAAATAATGACTGATTTTCACAAGGGTGTCAATATAGCCCAATGAGGAAAGAACAATCTTTTCAATAAATAGTAGGACAACTGGGTAACTGTTTACAAAAGAATGAAGTTAGCGCTTTACCTTATTATCACAATAAAAAATTAACTCAAAATAAAACTAAGACTTAAAATTAAGAACTAAAACTGTAAAACTCTTAGAAGAAAACATGGGTATAAGCCTTCATTATCTTGAATTAGACAATGGTTTTGTCTAATACACAAAGTAAACACAATTGAAGGCAAAACAGATAAATAGGATTTCATTGAAATTTAAAACTTTTGTACATCAGAGGACACATCAAGAAGGTAAAAAGACAGCCTGTGCCTATGGTGGCAAACCTATGGCATGCATGTTATTTGTTTTTAAGACAAACGATTTTAATGTACAGGTTGTTTTTCTAAACTAAAACCTCAGTCAGTACTCAGATTTAACTGCAGTGTTGGCACTTTGAGATAAATAAGTGGGTTTTGTGTTGCAGTTTTGGCACTCAGTCTCTAAAGTTTGCCATCACTGGCCTACTGAATGGCAAAAGGTATCTGCAAATCACTTTGTTTGATAAGGGTTTATATTCAGAAAACATGAAGAACTTTCAAAACTCAACAATAAAATAACCCTTTCAATCCCTGGTACCAAAAATAAATAAATAAATAAACAAAATAAAATAAAATAACCCATTTTAAAATGAGATGGAAATAGCCAATTATCGCTTAATGATTACTGAAGTGATAAAAAAAAGTTTTGGAAATAGAGTAACGATTACACAACAGTGTGGATATAATACTACTAAATTGCACACTTAAAAAAGACAAATTACATTATATATCTTCTATGATTTTTAAAATATTATACACCATTTAATTATACACATTAAATAGATAAGGTATATGTGAATTATATGTCAATAAAGCTCTTATAAATAGGAAGGAAAAAATGAGCTCTCAAGCTCTGAAAAGACACAGAGGAATCATAAGTACCTGTTGCTAAGTGAAAGAAACTAGATTGAAAAGGCTGCGTGTTTTATTACATCTGGAAAAGGCAAAATTGTAGAGACCAATGGTTTCCAGGGGTTTAGAAGCAGGAAAATGATTAACAGATGGATCACAGAGCATTTTTAGGGCAGTGAAACTGTTCTGTATGATACTGGATGGTGTCCACTATCACACATTTTTCAAAACTCACAGAGCTGTACAACACAAGGTGAATCCTAATGTAAAATATAAATTTTAGCTAATAATATCAATATGCGCTCACCAGTTGTAACAAATGTACCGCACTAATCCAAGATGTTAACAATAGGAGAAATCATGAATGAGTAGGGAGGTTTATGTGCAGAGTCTATGTATAATTCTTCTACAAATCTAAAATTACCTTTAAAAAAGATCTTTCAAAATGCACTTAAAAAAGAGACTCACTAAATTTTATCCTCTTGTGATTCATAAGACTATTCATTATAATTTTACATTAGATAGCGAGGAAATGCTGATTCTACCTTTGTAGAGTATCAGGCACTACTGAATCATCTCAATATTCAATATATCCTTTCCCTACTGCACCTCATCCTCCCCCTCAACACAATTATTTTAAGATCTAAATTTTGGTATTCATATAACTCCTTCCAATATAGAAAGATAGGCTTTGAAGATTCCACAGTCTTTGGGAACACTTTACAGCTAAATTCCAATGTAATTATAATAATGAGATGCAGACATTATACCAAATTGCCAATGCCTGTTTTTTTCACTTGATTCATTTTGTCTGAGGTATCACCTTATCAGAAACCTAAGTTTATTAGTTTTGTACATCCTCTTGAAAAAAATATTGTTCTCTAAAACCCTACACAGTCAATGCAGAGGATTAACTGTTCCAGAGGACAGGTGACTGGTACATTTAAAAGCAACCATTAGGCAGGAACAGTGACATAAACCTGTAATCTCTCAGCACTCTAGAAGGCTGAAGGAGGAGGATCACAAGTTTGAGGATAGCCTGGGCAATTCAGCAAGACTCTGTCTCAAAATAATAATAATAATGATTAATGATGATGATGATGATGATATTGATGATGATGATAATGATTAATACTACTAAATTGCACACTTAAAAAAGACAAATTACATTATATATCTTCTATGATTTTTAAAATATTATACACCATTTAATTATACACATTAAATAGATAAGGTATATGTGAATTATATGTCAATAAAGCTCTTATAAATAGGAAGGAAAAAATGAGCTCTCAAGCTCTGAAAAGACACAGAGGAATCATAAGTACCTGTTGCTAAGTGAAAGAAACTAGATTGAAAAGGCTGCGTGTTTTATTACATCTGGAAAAGGCAAAATTGTAGAGACCAATGGTTTCCAGGGGTTTAGAAGCAGGAAAATGATTAACAGATGGATCACAGAGCATTTTTAGGGCAGTGAAACTGTTCTGTATGATACTGGATGGTGTCCACTATCACACATTTTTCAAAACTCACAGAGCTGTACAACACAAGGTGAATCCTAATGTAAAATATAAATTTTAGCTAATAATATCAATATGCGCTCACCAGTTGTAACAAATGTACCGCACTAATCCAAGATGTTAACAATAGGAGAAATCATGAATGAGTAGGGAGGTTTATGTGCAGAGTCTATGTATAATTCTTCTACAAATCTAAAATTACCTTTAAAAAAGATCTTTCAAAATGCACTTAAAAAAGAGACTCACTAAATTTTATCCTCTTGTGATTCATAAGACTATTCATTATAATTTTACATTAGATAGCGAGGAAATGCTGATTCTACCTTTGTAGAGTATCAGGCACTACTGAATCATCTCAATATTCAATATATCCTTTCCCTACTGCACCTCATCCTCCCCCTCAACACAATTATTTTAAGATCTAAATTTTGGTATTCATATAACTCCTTCCAATATAGAAAGATAGGCTTTGAAGATTCCACAGTCTTTGGGAACACTTTACAGCTAAATTCCAATGTAATTATAATAATGAGATGCAGACATTATACCAAATTGCCAATGCCTGTTTTTTTCACTTGATTCATTTTGTCTGAGGTATCACCTTATCAGAAACCTAAGTTTATTAGTTTTGTACATCCTCTTGAAAAAAAATATTGTTCTCTAAAACCCTACACAGTCAATGCAGAGGATTAACTGTTCCAGAGGACAGGTGACTGGTACATTTAAAAGCAACCATTAGGCAGGAACAGTGACATAAACCTGTAATCTCTCAGCACTCTAGAAGGCTGAAGGAGGAGGATCACAAGTTTGAGGATAGCCTGGGCAATTCAGCAAGACTCTGTCTCAAAATAATAATAATAATGATTAATGATGATGATGATGATGATATTGATGATGATGATAATGATATAGTTCACTGCTGAGACCCTGGGTTCAAGTCCCAATAGAAACAAAACAAAATAAAAAAAAAATCATTTTCCCTGTTCCTGGTTTAAAGTGGCCCCTCTCAAATTCTTAATCTTTACTGGCATACTGCATAACTTCTTTAACTGTTACCTTGGTCTTTTCCAGCTTCGTCTATGTGTTGAAAGTCTTTTAGCATCTGAAGATTAAAGAACCCCTCTCTGCAATGCTGAATAACTTTCTTTGATCCATTCTTGATGAGATAATCCATCAGAGTGAGGGATTTATACACATGGCGCCAGTTTTTCCCATGGTCACTGAGCCTCTGCCATAGCATATTCATAATCTCTGAGAGAGAAATCGTGTTGAAAGTCAAGTCACTAATCTCTAGCATCAGAGAACTGGAGGGACCCCAAGGGTCATTAGAAGTAGCTTCTCTGACTTTCATTTCAGCATCCGAGTAATTTTTCACAAAGTTTTTTACTTGCCTCCTGAAAGCCATAGGTAGGACAAGTCTGAAGGCGAAATGGGGGGTGAGAGCAATGGAATAGGATTGTGTATAATTGGTCTATAAAACTCTCGATCGATGATCAGTTCCCAGTTCTGCTGCTCCTAAGTACAAACAATTAATTTCCATGCTGATAAAATATTGATTTCCTACAAGAAAAGCACAAAAAATGTGTAAGTTAAATTAAAAAACTAAGTCAGTCTAAAAATATAGGTTTAGTTTCTAAATTTGCACCTCATTTACAACACCAAGAATGGAGGACACATAAGTGTTCCTACGATGAGCACAGAAAATTTTTTTCCTGATTGGCCTATATAGGTGGTCTTTCTGGTCCTATATTGGCCTATATAGGTCATCTTTCTTTTCTGCAGAAAATATCATTCAATCTCTTTGGCCAGAAATACAATGGTTATAATACATTACTTGGGTCATAGACAAATCAATATAAATAATGAAATTTGAACTCTGACATCTCCTGCTTAACATATGTTGTTATGTGTAAAAATATTGTGTCTGAAAGTAATTAAAATGGTGGGGGAAACTGAGTTTTAGTGTCTCCTCTAGACCTTTGTAGAATAACAAGTCATTATAATCGCAACTAAATATTGTCTATTTTCTCATTAATCTAAAAGGGAGGAAGGTCAACTACTAAGACAAACATTTATACCTCAGTGGACTCCACAGTTAACTCATGGTAACCTAAAACCAATGTTGTAGTCCAGATAAGGCTACTAAATTAGAGGAAAAGATTAAATTACTTTAACTCATCTCTAAAAAGAAGTACAGGTTTAGGATTAAGCAGTATCAGTAGTGATATTCAAATATTGTAAAGCTTTCCCAAAAACCTGTAGTGACTGTGTGTGTTTCTGATAGATCTCAAAACAAGTCCACACAGAGAAACCCATTTAGGTTAATATAAAAATGCGCTGAAACATAAAAGGAGTATGCAGCCCTGATATTTTAGCTTGTGAGTTATCAATTCCTGATTTACATGAAAGCATCCTTTCCTTTTTTGTTACCTTGTATCAAGGTGAGTCAGTTACTCTGCAGTTTCCCTAGTGATTCACCACTGACGGCTACCCAGAGAGAGTACCAAATTGATTCCAAGCCCTGACCAGCATCCAGACCCAATGAAGCCTACACGATCTGTAATCCGTTACTAGAAAAACTGCAAACATACAAACAAAAAGAAAATGATAAAAAAAATCCATAGCAAATGCTTATTTTTAGTTTTGTTTCCCTTCCTTGACCTTCTCAGCTACTAGCTCAGGCCTAATTAATTTCTCTTTGTTGAAGGAAGGCATAAATATTCAGAAGCAACCTAAATGAACTATCACTTCTTTTTAAAAGGAGATAATAAAGCTTTTATTTAACAATAAAATGCATGCTAAAATAAGAAAGATAGAAAATGTTATTGGTTAAATTAAGACTTCACAGACAAGAGACTATCATCAACTCCAGGAAGAAAAAGACACGTATGTTTCTACAACTTTCTGATTTTTCTCTTGTTGGCACTTCAAATACATGCATTTTTATCTGATTCCCTCCTACAGCAAAAATTGTTGTATACAATGTTTTGCTAAGGTATTAAAAATTTCAATTTCTATTGTTATTTTTTTCCCCTCTACCAAACTGATTCAATACAGAGATGCACAGTGACATTGGCTTAGAGCAACAAATATTGATCTGTTTCTTCACAAGCCTATTTTTAAAAAAAGCAAGCAAACCTGTCAGAATCATAACTTGCTGGACTTGAACAACAGCTATTAAAATCCTTTTTGTTATTGTTGTTTTGTTTTTGGGTAGCAGGAGAGCCAACTTTAACTTTTAGGCTTTCCTAAATTCTCTTTCATTCATAAATTTTGAAGTGTTTTCTTAAACAATTTTCTCCCCCAGAAAAATATCAAAGTAGCCTAGAAGGCTATTATTATGTGTTTGATGCCATGCTAAAATCAAATACACTCCCAACCATTAGATAAACTACAAAGAAAAAGGTCTGTGTAGGTAAATTGATATCACTAATGTACAGTAACATGAACTCTCCTTTGTGACATGTACATAGAACATGTAAGATGCCATTCCACTATGATACTGTTAGTCCTTTTCAGACTAACGAGGATTGTATTAATTGGTGTTAGTTAAATAATGTCAGTTCATGATGTTTTAGACTCCCGACTAAGGATTATACACACCATCAAATAACCTGAACCTATGTGCTCCGTCACAAGCTGCATAACAATGTTGTAATCAATGATGGACTGCATATGACAGTGGTCCCACAAGATTGTATCACCTAGTGACATCAGACCATCTTAATTCGTGAGTGTACTCAATGGCATCTGCACAACAAAGTCATCTAATAGTACATTTGTCAGAATGTGTCCCTGTCATTAAGCAGTACCTGACTATACAGTGATACGGCACCTGAGACAAAATTAGTGGCAAAAAGGTAAATGTCCACATGAATCTCAGTTGTCCGGCTACTCATATCCTTCTATATTGAAAAAGAGAAGGGAAAGATACTTCATGTCACAAATCTGTGCCATCTCCTTAAGGGGCTTTTACCGACTTCAGCCACCATCACATCCTTTTCAGCACCACATTAATTTCCTTTATAGCAGTGAGAATCATCAAGTAGCTGTTAGTGGCTCACTGCCCTTCTTCACCACGACTAGAAACTCTTCAAGGGCAAAAGACCCCGACCATCTTATTTATCCCGGTAATGCTATGCCTAATAAGTACATAGCAATAGTAGTTATTCAAGAAACACGGAATGAGTGAATGGCCGAACTGCGTAAGTCTACTTTAGGATAGACCTGCAATTACTCTACAGCTTTGAATTATAGACATGACATTTTAAAAGTAAAATATAACTCTTGTAACTGTCAAGTAAAATTCTAGAATTTTGAGCAAATATTTCCAAAATCAAGTATCTCTAGAGAACCTACTATTTGTACAGCTTTGAGGGGAAACAAAATATAATCCATACATTCAAAAAACTTATTGTTTGGTTAAGAAACTTTCGCCCTAATTCTAAAGCAAATAAATGATGAGGTAGAAAAGACCTCTTGGTTTTCTGTTGAGATCTGCCAACTTTCATAATGCTGTTTCTGTTCCCCCAGTTTTACCTGAATCATAACAGGCAATCATTGCAGTTATCAGGTGACATTAAACTACTGGTCCACAATCTCTTATCCAAATCTTTTCAGGCCAGGTGAGTTAAAAAATTTTTTTAAAAATTTTTTAATATAGGACAGTGCCTATGCCATACGTTACACAATACACCCAGTACGATGTGAAGGTTCCAAATAATGAAACCAACCCATCAACATATCTGCAACAAAAATATGCAAACATTTGGAATCAAGGCTATAAGATGGATAACCTTAATTCAATTCAGATTTTACTGATAAGTGGGTTAGACAGGGAAGTTGCTTCCAACACTTTTCAGGTTTCAAAAATTGAAATAAGGGGGCGAGGGATTTAGCTCAGTGGTTCCGCCACCTGCCTCACAAGCACAAGGTTCCCAAGTTCAAACCCAAAGTACCAAAAAGAAAAAGAAAAAAATTGAAATAAGGGACTTAGAAACTGGATCAACTATGCAAAGACTTAGAGGATGACAATGATAGTAAAATCTAAGAGGCTGAGTACCAAAAGACATCTCTGGAAAGATGCATTTGGGGTAGTGCTATGAAGAGAAAGCAGCTCTTGTTTGCACAAGCTCTGCCTATGGGCTTCAGTTCAATTTAGGAGGAAATAAGCTCTGGCCAAAATTTTGAAGAGAATACTATGGCATTAGGGGGTGTTTTGATGGAAAGAGTCAACTAATAATTTTCTAGCACTTACCATGTGGCAGGCTCCACCCCAGGAAATAGAGAAATAGTTGCACAGGACATAGTCCTTGCCCTCTGCAGTAAACGGCTACACCTGGGCTTTCATGTGCCTCATCTCACTACTTTAATTGGGATTCAGGGGCATTTGAGGTCCTGATCTGTTTTTTCCAATTAAGACTTAAACGCTACTCTGGGCCTCATTTCCCTCACCTGCAGCATAAGGCGTAATCACTGCATAGCGCTTTGAAGAAAGGAGATGCTCTGGAGAGAATTTTGAAAAACAGAAAGTCAGAAGCTGCCACAGAACTGCCTTTAGACAGACAGGCATCCACTTGGCATCCACTTCTTCATTTATTTAACAATGATTTCAGGAGGACCACATATACCAGGTGAGCTGGGTCACTCAGAGAACCTAAACTGCAACTGCTCTAAAATTGGACATGATTACCACCGAGGGAAGTCTGGGCTTTGAGGAAGCTTCTAGAAGGAGGGAGAGGCATGATGACGTCACACAGTAGGGACCTGCCCTCACGGAGACATAGCCTCGGAGCCCACCTACCGCCTGTCCCGCACATGGCGCCAGTAATGAAGGTAAGATAAATGACAGCTATCTTAACCTGCCATCCACAATCCCACACCAAAGCCTATTACCTGAGAGGAAGTTCCAGCTGCTGCCCTGGGGAGTTTTCCCTGCTCAAATTCAAACCCTCTTACCCGCCCAGGCTACTTCACCTCCTGGCGCCTACCCCACTCCCGGACTTCCGACTTCATCACTTCCGGATTCTGGTGCCCGCTCCTCCCAGGTCCTAAACCTACTGGATGTAGGAGATTAAAATGCGTCAGCCGGAGGGTGTCGAGTGTAATGAAGGCAAAAAGCCCTCTTTTCCCAATTTGTGATACAGTAGCACTGCCCTTTTATTTTTAAAAAAAAAACAACTAACTTTTAAAAATTTGTCTTACTAGTGAAATTTTACCTGACTAGAAATGCCACCCCACCAGCACCTGACTGCCACCTAAAAGACAAAGATTTAATAGTCTAGAGATGAAGAGCATGTATAAGTGTGACGGGCAGGACGGCACTCCTCCAATGATGACTGCTTCAGGGACCACTGAGGGGTAGTAGTTGATAGATTCAGCTGATCCTCACTGAGCACCCGTTTTTCACCACACTGTAAGGACTGAGAGATAAAAACACAGCCCTATACCAGATGAGTTTACAGGCTAGTGAAGGTGACAGGCACCCTCACAGAAGATTGTGACAAGATTTGTATAGCATAATAAGAGAGGAGAGATCACTTAATTCTGCAAAGAAGTTTTTAAGGGCAGGTTTCACAAAAGAGTTTATATCTGAATTGAATCTTAAAGGATGACAGGGAGTTCACTGGAGAGACGAAGTAGAGTATGTGAGAAGCAGAGGGTACATCATGTGTAAAGGCATGAAAGCTGAGAGAGCGTATAATCTTGATAAAACTACAAGTACTATAGTTACGACGGCTGTCGCAAAAGCTACTAGTGAACAGAGAAAGAAGATGAAATGGCAGGGGAAAGTCAGATCGTGAAGAGCTTTGTCCATGCTACCAGGTGATTTTATCCAGCAGACGTTGAAAAATGTAATCAAGCCCATGTTTGAAAACACATTAGTGACTCAGTGGAATATTGAGTAGGATGGGAGAAAAAGATTTAAAAGGGTAACATTTGTTTTTAGCTTCTACAACTTAATTATTATATTCAACATTATTGATACTGACATGTAGCTACATAAGTGCCATATAAAATGGTAGAAGATATGGAAAAAGTTGGTGTGTTTAAAATATTATTTAGCTGGCTATGTATAATGAAGGTAGTAAGCAGAGACACATTAAAAATCTGGCCTGCCAAGGCCAACCTGAACTACACAGTGAGACAAAAAAAAAAAGGAAGTGAAACACCCTTTATCAGTGCATGCATGCTGTGTGTGCTATATGTCCATTAAGCATTTGGTGGCTGTTTTATTTATCAGGCTGACTGTCGTTTATTGAGGTGCTTGTGTCAAATAATCCTTTATGGTAGCCTATGACTCCATCACAATACCAGGGTCATCTACCTCACTTCACATCAGCATGTGGCTGGCTGTTGTATCACCTTACATCATCACAAGAACCAAAAGCTAACGAAGCACAGTACAAGAAGGTATTTGGAGACCACAGAGGGCTCACATAGTTTTAGTACAATGTATTGTTATAATGATTCTGTTATTAGTCATTGTTATTATCATACTATGTCTAATTTCCAAGTTAAACTTTATCAAGGCTGAGACAGGAAGATTATAAATTGAAGCCCAGCTAGGCAATTTAACAAGACCCTGCCTCGAAATAATAAATAAAGAAGTTTATAGCTCAGTTCAAAGGCCTTGGGTTGAACCCCCAAAACTGGAAGGAAAATAAAAAACCACCTTTATTATTATAAGTGTGTACATAGAGGAAATAAAAAAAAACAGTGTGTGTAGGGTTCAGCCCTATCCTCAGGTAAGCATCTACTGGGGTTTTAGGAGCATATCACCCCGATAAATGGGGAGCACTGCCATGGGCAAAGTGTAACACTCCATTCTTCTCACTCCCTTCTGACCCTCACATTTCTACATGTTAAAGTGTCTACATTCCTGGACTTGCCGCCAAATGCATGTGGGAATGAGGCAGAAGAGTCTACAGCAACTCTCCAGTTTCTTCTCCACCATGTCAGTGGCTACTGCTCAGCAAGCTGAGGAACATGATTTGAAGTGCAGGCTTTGGCAGGAAAGATGACAAACTCTGTTGTGATGATTACATCTGTCATATGAGGAGCCTGGGGAAGGGCGACAGTGCCCAGGAGATAGGAGCGCAGCAAGAACTGCAGAGGTTTTGGGCTATGTTTGCAGACTTGAGAGTAGTGAGCATCTAGAAGAGGCAGATAGAACTAGGAGGAGCACAAGGTCAGAGCTTTCCGGTCTCCCTGTGGGAGGGAGGTAGTTAGGCTCAGCAAAGGTGTGAGGTGCTCCCAACCTAGTGGAATCAATCTGGTTAAAGTGACATCAGGTGAGGGGCTCTTCTTATCTGCTTTCCTCCATTTGGGGGCACAATTTAGTTATGAGACTTATAGAATTTACCAGATATGAGAATGGTTCTATGGTAATAACTTTCTTGGGAGTATTTCCCCCTTTAATTTTCTGAACTCAGAGTTTTATAAAATAGAAGAAAATTTGCTTTACTTAACGTCAGGACACCACTTCATCTGGTCTCCTTAGTTCATTTCTTCTCAATTCTCTGACCTCTCAGTTTTGAAGGAATCTGTTCTCCAGTCTTCTCTACCTACGTTCATTCTCTAGGTGGTGATATGCAGTCTCATGGCTGTAAATACCCTTCTGTGGCAACAACTCATAAGATTTTCTCTTCCGTAATCTCTCTGGACCGCTATACTTGTGTATTGAATGCGCTTGACCTTCCTATTGGTATGTATTATAGACATCTCAAATTCAGTATGTCTAACCCCAGACTCCTGCTCCTTCCTGTATTCCAAACCTGATCCCCAATAATCTCTCCTGCCTCAGTCAGTGACACATCTTTATTTCCGGTTTCTCAGGCCACAAACAGTGGAGTCATTTTTGGCTCTTCTCCTTGTCTCTCACACCTCACATCCTACCAGCTTACCTCCGAAACGCAGAGTGGCTTCCAACTCTGAGTAATAAAATGACTTATTGATACTGTACTCCAAAATACAATACCTTTAAAAGAAACAGTATAGTCATATTATCTGTGTTTCTAAGCTTATGATCATCCTGTATGTTTGGAATCCAAATACTTCTAAACTACCATCATCTCTTGCCTGAACTTTGCAGTATCCTCCCAGATGGCCTCTCCATTTCTGTCCTCGCTCCCTCTCAATCTAGTTTCAACACAACTAGCAGAGGAGTCCTTTTAAAATTGAAAACCCAAGCCAGGTCCTATCCCTCCTGAGTTAAAAAGTATCCATTATCTTCCATCTGAAAGTTAAACCCAAAGGCCCTGTGAAGGCCAGCAAGGCTCTGGTGTTCTGCCGCTCTCTGACTTCCATACTGACTCTCCTCTGCCTCACTGGCTCCACCAAGCATACTCCACCATAAGGCTTTGCAGCTGCTCTCCCCTCTTCCTGCAGATATTCAGCCGCTGGTCTTCTCAACTGTTCTTTGATCATCTAGCATAAAGTTATAACCCCCAACTCAGCCACACTGCTGATAGCCCTTGCCCTGTTTGACTGTTTTTTCTCTAGGGCTGTAGCCATTTGCCTACGTATTCTTTCTCCTTTTACCAGAATGTACCATCTGTATTCCCAGCACCTACAGTAGACCTAACAGAAGTATTCAAACTTGATTTATTGAATGAATTAAAAGAGAACATCTGAATCCACACTATTGAATTAGCAGCATACATTTGCCATAATATTTTTATTTAGAGGATACTTTATTAGTTTCTGTAATCAAACCCACATAGATAAGACCTTACATATTTAATACAGTGCATTACCCCTGTACAAATGAAAAAAAAAATAAGTTTGACATTGCTAGACTAATATGGCTGTTAACTTGTGTACAATGCTATTGTGCCCCAATAATAGCAATATGTTATGCATCAATAGCAACAACAGCTTTTCAGGTTCTACAGTCATCTGAACAAAATTATAGAGACACCCAGAACACTCCATTTAAAGAAAAGAAAAAAAAATACCCAGAAAACAGCAAAGTTCTGTTACTATTGTGGTACCTGGCACCCTTTTTTTTATTAGCATATTAATCATCATCTGGAAACCAATAATAGCAATATGTTATGCATCAATAGCAACAACAGCTTTTCAGGTTCTACAGTCATCTGAACAAAATTATAGAGACACCCAGAACACTCCATTTAAAGAAAAGAAAAAAAAATACCCAGAAAACAGCAAAGTTCTGTTACTATTGTGGTACCTGGCACCCTTTTTTTTATTAGCATATTAATCATCATCTGGAAAGAAAACATTCTAGGGTAACATCATTAAAACAGTTCTGATAAAGCACGGTCACTACTACAGATCCTAAAGCAGGTATATGATATTTTACATCCACAGAGGTATGATACTGTACTGTCCTACATCTATAATACTGGAGGATACAATTAAAAAGCCATTATTTCAGACTTGATTCTACTATTCCAGCAGAGGGCCCAAAAGATGATATGACGGCTCTGTAAAGAAATGTACTTTCTTAGATAGGATTTCCCTTCATTAACGGCACAGTTTAATTTCTCTTCACGAACATCAGCTAGAAAACCATTTTTTAAAAACCTGGGGTAAACACAAAACAACAGAAAAAAACAAAAGATTCATTCAAAGAGGATTGAGTGAAGGTAAGCGAGACTCAACCTATCTAGTGTTTTATCAAATCTGTCCTGTCTGAAAGGCAGGATCTCCGCTGGAGAAAGGAGATGCCACGTAGCAGTGCCTGACAGCTTCGGATCACAACCAAAACACTGCATCCTTTCCAAGAAGTAGTAGGCAAACATCACTCGTTTGTATAAAGTCAAATCAAGCATAACTACATGTTTTAAAAGTTCTGTTATTAGCAATGACCTTTCAAAAAGAATTGAAAAATTTTAAACAAGCTTGGTTTTAAAATAGTTTATTCATTGTGGACAGTGAGATTTCACATATTCCTGAAGCCTCCCAATTGCCTATTTCTCAAGGTCTGAAAGGCTGACATTCTCACATTAGGGTCTTTATTCAGTTACAGAGCTGTTATGAAATGAGCCACCAGCGGGGCCTTGCTTCCCTCCCAGGGTGCTGTACATCATGTCTTCCAGTCAATACTTCCTACCCAAACAAATTATCTTCTGAGAATTCTTCTCCCTTTCTTAAGGGAAAGGATTATATTCCACTGCCTGGGGGATGGTAACCTGTGGAAATTTAACTTCACCGTTAGGGCACAAGCTGAAAACTCCCTGATACTTTCTGTATGGTACCGTTAAATATGTTGCTTTCCTTCACACTTCTCAGCCATGAAAGTTTAGGGTGTGACTGTTTTAACCACTTCAAACCACTGAATTGGGAACTATTGAAGAATATGGGCAGTAGCCAGAGGATTTTGGTGTTCAGAAATTTGGCCATGCATCTGTTCCATGTAACCATGGGCTCTAAGAAGGTCCTGGAACCAAGTAGCCCGAAGAACTCTGAGGCAAGTGTTGAGATGTTATCATTTAAAACATCATCAGCCTATTGTAATCTTTAAACTTCCATCTATGTAACATGAGGAAATAGTGGGTATCCTGTTCAGATGTAACTTAGATTAAAGAAATTTGCATTAATTAAGTGAAATCCCATTATTAAGGAGTTAAGAGTAGCCAATTACTTCCTTTAACTCATTCGATTAATATTTACTGAGCACCTACTATGCAGGTACTTTGCTGATTCTGAGTCTTCTTTTCTGTTTTAGTAAGAATGTTAAGCAATTATAGCCAAGGGAGATGTTTTTTTAAAAAGTAAATCTTAAGCAAGGTTTGTAAGTGAAGAGTAAAGTGACATTAAAAGGATGCCATTTCACAGTGCAGAAATACAGAATACATTTAAATTTTAGTACCCCAAATCGAGTCTTTCATGAAACCCTCCTTCCTAGCGTCCCTGGGATTAATGCCAGACACATCCCTGGGAGACAACATTTCTCTCTTCATCGTGGGTTCAGTCTCTAAACTCTGAAGGATGCCACTTAGCACGTAGCAATAGAACAATTTTGTTCAAAAGATGTATGTTACCAATCTACCTTCTAGCAAGAGCAAAGAGAAAGGAAGAGGCCTCCACAGGTCGCAGTTGGAATGGGGGAAGGGTAAGCTCGTATTTTGAAGGTGAGACCTAAGGAAATTAAAGCTGACAAAAGTCAGTGAGTGGGACTTAAAAATCCCAGAAAGTCTTAAGTCTCGCCTGCTCAATAGCAAGCAATGACCCAAAACTCTAAGGGACACTCCTTACGCATGCCAGAAAGTGACAAACCCATAATTAGAACTCATCTTGGTTCAGAGCTCCTCCTTTTCCTCTTCTTCTTCCTCTCTTCCTCCTCCTTCCTCTTCTTCCTCCTCTTCCTTCTCTTGTGTCATATTATGAACTAAGAATAATATGGGCTAAGTGCACTGAATAAACATTTTCCTTGAGATTTTTAAATTTATGATGATCAAGGGTGGTTTTAAATAATTTCCCCCAAGAAATCTCTGTTTCTCTATAGGTATGGTTATACTAAAAAAAATAATAAATAAGTAAAGATTTTCCTTAAAAGCAACAGCAGCTCGCTGATGGACCATATCCAAGATTAGACATTTTCTTATGTGAACATAAATGTTCAGGAGGGATGTTGTTAAAACTGAAACCAAACATTAAGAAGCAAAAGTGTTTCAGTGAGCCTCCTGCATTTTAGCTCAACTCTGACAGCAAGAAAACAAAACCACATAATCTAAGGCTCACACCCAACTCTGTGCAGCCACGTATCTGCTAGTTCCTGTGTGGTTTGCCTACTGACTACGGGGCTAGCGGAGGGTAGTTTGGAGGCAAGAGTAAGAGGTAGTGAGGAGGAGGCAGGATTGATGGGTCTGTAAGTTGCACCCTCTTTCAGTGTGGCACTGGGAAGTCGGCGCAAGGTGGATCTGTACTCTGAAATGCAGTCATTTTGATGTTTGAATTCATCTTCTCACAAGAGACGATTCTAATACGTCCGTGTCAAAGCCAAGATATCAACTCAACCTCTCCTCTTCCAAAAGGTATGTCACTATAAATATCAGTCCACATACTGTAGGAACCTTGAGCAGTTTTATGATTTGCAGTGTTCTATACTAGTCAAATTAATTAAAACGAACCCCATGAGCTCTCTAAATATTGCTTTGAATACTTTGGTCCATCAACTATATCTCTAGACCTTTTGCTGTGAAAGTATTTGTGGTGCTAGGACTTGGCTTTTATCAAATGAACTGGAGAAGACTTGGTTCTTACTCAGCTCGTTAATTGGCTTCAGAGACATCTGTGGCAAAGATTTCTGACACTGGAGTCACAGAAGTAAAATTCCACTTCGCTGTCACCAGCATTTAATCCAAACTTTGGAGCAGGAGGTGGTAGAGGGCTGAGTAGCAATGAACGAACATTAGACGCTGAGGTCAGGGTCTCTCTTTGTTCAAAGTTTTTAGTACCTGTATTCCCTTTCCAATAATTACCTGTGTGGGTTCCTTTACAGAAAGAAAATTTATGTTAAAATATATCTTGAAAGAAAATTGTCTATGTTTGTCTCTTTATTCATAGTTAGACTGTGTCCCTACAGCAGTTTCAAGGTTAAATGTCCAGTCTAGCGACAGCTCCTTTATGCCTTTTGTCCCCAGTGACTCCCAAACATGAGGAATGAATACAAAGATACATCAAAGACTTCACTAACCCCCAAATCATTGCATTTGCATACCTCAGATTAGGCCTGTTATGAAATTCTATGTAAGTTAATTTGCACATTATTGAAAGTATACAACCCTAGATAAATTAGGAAAAGCAGAATGTTTAGAATCTAAAAACCCAATGGGAAAAAAATGTCATGTGCTCATTATCTGAGGATGGGAAAGTTCAAGTTGAAGACTCTTGTGTTTTGTACAATCACATTGATTCGGTTCTGTAGTTGGGCTCTTTTTCTTCTTTCTTATTTTTGGTTACAGAAAAAAAAAATCAGTTTCATTTATTCTCCTTTAATAACCTGATGTTATATATAAACCTTTATTCTTGTAGAATAATTTAAATGCCTATTTCCAAAAGCATCTACTGTTAGATAAAGAATGCAGTGTAAACAAAGAAGTATCTTAGGTGCATTCATATTTCTCATGTTTTAAAATTTGGATTTGTACTTTATACTTTGTTCTTTTTGTAAAAGAGAAAGGGCCATATATTATTGAATAAAACTACCCTTCTGGATTTAACTTTGAGTGGCTCCCATGTAATAAAGTGTAATCTTATTCTCCCTAAATTGTAATAGCTTTTATCTTTTCTAAAATGACTTTACTGAAGCAGAGGGGAAGGAGGTGATTGATCTGTTCAATATGAAGAAATATCTCTGCTGCTAATATAATATCCTTTGAAATATCTTTCACGTCGTAGGCCCTCACGAAAATCCCTTTTCTTTTTTATTTCAATTGTTCTGCATCTACCTCATAGGAATATTGTAAGAATAAATGAGTTAACACAGATAGGAAGTACCTCAGGGAAAAGTCACTATGAAAATGCAAGATGATATCATTATTAATTATTTCTTTGACTCTTGATCATTTTCTTCCCATCTCTCGTACAGAATACATCTCACTTACTGCCTAAAGCCATCTCTTTTAGAACCATTGCCTTCTAGAAGAGCAGAAAATTATCTTAATTCCCACATATTTATTGATTCCCAGAGAATAACACCTGCTGGTATTGATGGCTTAAAGAGCTCATGCCTGAACTTGAGCAGAACTTGCCCCTTTTCTTGGATCAAGAACGTCTGCAGTTATTCAAAAATATGTCATTAAGTGTGATTCCATCAGGATTTCTTAAATAAGTAACAGTTGCTGCTAGAATAATTCTAGAGACAGACTCTTCAGGATTTGGCCTCATAAAACAAACTCAAAGGTTGTTCAAAGGTCTTCATGAGCTTAGTTATTTGAATCAAAGGATAGGGGTAGATTGGCCTTCGTTTTGTCCAACTGAAGTATTTGCTTATTGTATCTTGACCTGTAAAGGGGTGTGTGTGTCACTTGACAATTCCTAGGACAGCATAACCTCCTTTAACAAGTAAACATTTTTCAAACATTTATTGAGCAATTACTATGTGCCAATACTATGTGCCACTCCTTTTTATAGGCACTGAGTTGTCTTCAGTGTTAATAGTAGCTTTCAATACACTTGAACCAATAGGAAGTGTGTGGGTAATTTTTAAGAGTAGGTTTCTTATTAAATATACATTTATAAACAAAATTTTTGAGAATTAAAAGAAATTATTACAAAGTATACAATGATAAAAATCTTATGTGCTCTCCAGGGAAGACATAAGACATATTTTAGGGAGAAAGTGAGTAAGATATTCAAATTCAAAGAAAAATTAAAATATTAGTACAATGAATGCCTCTAAACCCACCACCTAGGTTCAACAGCTGCTGATTTTTTTTTGTTCCATTCATACATTTTTCTTTCTGAATTTCTTTAAGTTACAGATAAAATGATACTTCCCTCCTAAATGATTCAATGCATGTCTAAGAATGATGCATGTGTCCTACATGATGACAACACTACCACTATACCTAAGAAGATAAATAGTAAATCCTTAATGTCATCTAATATCTAGTATGGACTAGGCTTAACCTTCCCCATTTGCTCCCCAAATGTCTTCTATGCTTTAAACACACACATTAAACACACACACACACACACACACACACACACACACACACAGCATCAAGCAGGGCATAGTGTTGCATGCCTGTAATCCCTGTGTTCTGGGAGGCTAAGGCAGGAGGATTGAAAGTTCAAATCCAGAGCCGGGCGTGGTGGCACACACCTGTAATCCCAGCCCTTGGGAGGCTGAGGCAGGAGGATCGCTGTGAGTTCGAGACCAGCCTGGGCTACATAGTGAGTTCCAGGTCAATCTCAACTACATACTGACCCTGTCTCAAAAAACAAAAAAAGAAAGAAAGTTCAAGTCTAGCCTCTGCAATTTAATAACTTAGTAAGAGCCCATCTCAAAAAAAAATTTTTTTAAGGGATGTAGTTCAATGAGAAGGCCCTCAGTTTAATCCCCAGTAACACCAAAAAAAAAAAAAAAAGGTTTGTTGTTGTTTTGCATTTAAGCTTTACATCTCCCTATTCAACACTGGGTTGTCTTTTTTTTTAATTAAGCCCGTTACTTTCCAGATTCCCTGTTCTGAATTGGCTGTTTCTTTATGGTTAATTTATTGTTCTACCTCCTATATTTCATGTGAACTCCTAGTTAAGACCAAAGCATGATCAGGTTCTGACTGAACATCTGTTGCAAGGTGCCACAGGTCACTCCATATTGCCTCTTATCAGGAGGCGCACGAGGCCATCCTGCTCACAATTCATTATACCAAGTTCCATCATGGCTCAAGGCAGTGAGGTTGGTCTGGGCTCTCTTCCATGGATAGGCACTTTTCCCCTTTTTGCAACTGGCAAATCATGGGGTGGGGAGAACGTGACACTCTGGCCCTGTGATCATAAACTATTTCTTTTTTGGTTTTGCTGTTGTTGTTTTTGAGACAGGGTCTCACTATGTGGTTGAGACTGACCTGGAACTCACTGTGTAGCCCAGGCTGGTCTTGAACTCAACAGCGATCCTCCTGCTTCAGCCTCCGGAGTGCTGGGATTACTGGCGTGAGCCACCACACCTGGCCATAAACTATTTGTCAACAAACTTTCACCCAGTGATTTCAGCTGACAATCCTTGTCTAAATGTTCCACATGTATTTTTAACACATTTTGAGGAAGGATAAGACCCATAAATTCCTCATTGTCAGCAGCAGCTATGGATATTTATTGAGTACACAAATTTAGAAAACAATGATAAGTAAAACTGACTACTTGCTCTGGAGCCACACAGCCTGAGATTAAGCCCAGGCTTCCACTTATTTAACTGAATGAACCGGACAAATATTCAGTCTTTTTGTATTTCTCTTATAGGAAAGTTTTGAAAATTAAATAATTTGTACAAGTTCCCCAAATGATTTGTTACTGCTTCTAGTCATGCACTGACTAATATTTTACAGATAATTAGCTCATTTACTTCCCTTTCTGGCACAAGGAAGAAAATGCTTGTATTCCTTTATTTCACAAATGAGGGACCGGAGGTACAAAGAGATCGAGTTCCTTGCTCAAGTTCACATGTACTCAATTAGCACATGACTGAGTCAGGCCATCTGATTCCGGAACATTCCCTCTGAAGACACACATGGATTGAGGAGGGGTACATGCCCAAGTCTGAAATCACTGACAATCTCCTAGCGTTGCTACCAGAGCACACTCTTCAATTTCATTCATATGAAGGAGAAAAGCATTCTATGAAGCACAGATAATTGTGCCTATTGCGTTTACATAGTTTAAAGTTCTTGTACAAGAAACTTAAAACATAAAATCATTGGAAATGAAAAGATTAGGAGAACTAGGAAGGCGATGAAAAAAAAGAAAGAAAGAAAACTTGAATAATAAAAGAGACAGTTATGAGACCTCAGGGCCTCAGGCAGAAGATGATTTTTAAAAAATATTTTTATTGGTACATTTTAGATATACAATACAGTTGCATTCATCATTGGGATCTTGTACCTTTACATGACAAGTCTTGGTTCTCATTTTTTCTCCATTCCCCTAGCCACCCTTCCCTATATACAAATAGTTTGTTTCCATTTTTTTCCTTTTCTCTTGTTTTTTCTCTTCCCTTTTTACCTTTTCCTTACCCTTCCCATTTGCCCAATACCTTTAGACCTTTTCTTCCTATTACAAAATATCACTTATACATTTTGACCCTTACTTACACTTTAGTTTATCACACTAGAGAAACTACACTGAATTTACACGTGTCCTATTAATTTCACTTAAGAGTATGTCCTCAATGTGCATCCACTGAACTATAAAGGTCTCTGGTTTCTCATTCTTTATGGCTGAGTAGTACTTTTATGTGTATAAAAAAACACATAGAAGATAATATTTTGATAGCGTCAGGATGGGAAAATTCTCTCTCGTTTTTCATATGCCT